TTTCTCGCAGGTTGAGTGTCTGTATAAAGACAGAAAGAAGCAGACAGAGTGGGGACTTGGCCACTCTGGGGCAATAAAAAGACAGAGGGACAAGGGAGTTTAGGATATTGGCAGGAGGGGTCTTACAATGACAGAACATGGAACCTGTGTGGGCTCAGAGAAGGAAAACAGGAAGGTAGTGAATGGCAAGAAGGTAGAGGTGCCGATGGACGCAGATCCCGAGGACGCTAAAGAACGGCTGTGTGTGGGTCAGTGCACAGCAAGATGGCAGACCAGGAGGTGGGAACCAGAAAGCAGGGACCTCTACTAGGTGATTTTCAGGTGATGGCAAGATCTAGGGTGTGACCCTGGGAGCGAGTGGCTGAGGTGGGGAAGCCAGTGAAGGGGCTGATGGGCCGGGGGTAGGATGAATTGCTCATGTAGTCACTGATCTCACCCAGGACAATAGATAGATTGGGAGAGGGGAGGATGTCTATGAGCAGATGCCAAAGGCTTCACTGGACCGGGAAGGTGGCCAGTGATGATAAGGGGAGGGGAGAGGTAGCCTGACTTTACGAGGTTTGCGGAATAATGATATTATATATTCTATTCCCTTCCACCTGAAGTACATTCTCCAGAGTGAAAGGTCAAAAAAGAGCTCTGGCCAGTTTAGCTCAGTGGTTAGAGCGTCGGCCCACAGACCAGAGAGTCCCGGGTTCGGTTCCTGCTAAACGCACGTACCTCAGTTGCAGTTTGTCCCCGGCTCTGGTTGGGGTCGTGTGGGTGGCAACCACTCGATGTGTCTCTCTCACATCAATGTTCCTCTCTCTCTCTCTCTCTCTCTCGATCTGAAGATAAATGCAAAAATGTCCTTGGGTGAGGATAAAAAAACAAGGTCAAAAAAGAAAGTGGAATAAGTCTTGAGAAGAGGTAATTGATTCAGCACAGGGTCAGAAGTTAGGAGATTTATATCTTGTCCTGATGATATTAATATGCTTTGTGACCTTGGGCAAGTCCTCCCCCCTCCCTGGGTTGGAGGAATTAGTTCAGCGGGTGTTAGGTGTGCTGAGATCCTGGTTCTCCTTCTCCCTGGGTCAGCCGGAGTCCCAGAGCCATTGCATGGAGTATGTGTGCTATGCTGGAGGTGGGAACGTGGGAAAGCAGTGGGCCAGACCCTCTCCAGGGACCCAGCCGCCTCTGACGTTGTTTGCGTACCTCTGGTTCTCTGTCTTGGAGAAGGCTGTGGGGAGGCTGACAAAACAGACAGATTCCTGCTGCAGGCAGAAGTCCATCTGCTGGCAGAGAGGAAGCCAAGTTTCCCAGTTCACACTGGCTCCCCTTGCCTCCTTTCCAGCACCAGCTGGGGGCGCTGTGATCTGCTCAGATGCCCAGGTGAGGGCAGGTGCTCTGCTCCTCTTCTGCCTGGTGGCCGGGTGGTTAGTGGCGGTCCCTTCAAGCCTTGGCAGCAGCTTATGCACATGGAGGAGCAGCCACCCACTGGCTCCCTCTTCCACTATCCAGTTCTAAAAACAGACTCACCATTTCTCCAGATTTTTTTTTTTTCCTATCCTCACCCGAGGACATTTTTTCGATATTTTGTTCAGATAGAGTGAGAGGAGGGAGGGAGAGAGAAACATCGACGTGAAAGGGACACATCGAGTGGTTGCCACCCACACAACCCAACCAGGGCCGGGGACAAACTGCATCCGAGGTACGTGCCCTTAGCGGGAACCGAACCTGGGTCTCTCCGGACCGCAGGCCGACGCTCTAACCGCTGAGCCAAACTGGCCAGAGCACCATTTCTGAGAAGTCAGGCAGCACGTCTCAGTGCACATGGCCCAGACAGAGCCTTCACAGTGCAGCTTTCTCCTGGGGACAGCCACTTCTCAGAAATCCACGGAGATCCACGGAGATCCACTACGTGCTTGCCCTTGGGCCACCCTCTCTCTGCTACTAGCCTTCCTTGGCCCCCCTCTCCTCCCTCTCCCGTCAGACACTATATACTTAGAGAATGCACGGACCACCTAACTTGACCCAAATCATGCAATACCAGCAAAGACCCAGCACCTGGCCCAGTACTTTGTACGCAGTAGAGAGGCCATATTTACTGAATAAATGAGGATTATTCTTGAATATTTAAAAAAGGAAACTCTACCAAGCCCTCTCAAATTTTTAAAATTATTGATCACATTGCTTAGATTTATTGGAGTAAATAATTAAAAGATTACTTTTAAAATTCTTTCATACTTACTGATGACTACTACGTGCCGAGCATTTTACAAGTGTGAGCTGGTTTTACTTTCACAAGCCTGTGAGATGGGTATGTTAACCCCCTTTTACAGACGGGCAAACTGAGGCTCAGAGAGAGGTTAAGAGGCATGTCCAGGGTCATAGAGCTGGTTAGCAGTGGTCACAGGATTCCCAGACATCTCCTCTTTTTAGCACCAGGCTGCCTCTTACAAGGGCATACACAGAACACCAGCTGAGACGGAAGCAAAGGGGAAGACAGAGAAGTGCACCTGAGACCGGCTGAGGCTCCCACTGCCTTACTCCGGGGAAGTAGTTTTGAGGCTGGGTAAGTAAGCTTTGCCCTCACTCACCTCTCCCCCTTTGATTGCTTGGCTGGCTCACCCACCACCTCTGCAATCTGGCCTATCCCTCAATGCCACCTGGTTTGGCTCCCTGAGCCTGAGAGGGGCCACGAAGCTGCAAGGACCTCTCCTATGGATACACTACCCCTGCTCCCCTCCCCCTGAGGCAGAGCAACTACTGGGCCAGGAGGTACCCTTTGTTCTCAGGGCCGAGGGAGCAGGCGGGAGTGGCAGAAAACATGAGTGGGCTGACCTGCCACCATGAACGTAGCTGCCAGCCCCTCCACACCTGTTTGCCTCCGGCTGACAGGTGAGCAGCTGTGCTCTACAGCTTTCTGTCCATCTGTCTCCTGGTGCTCCTCAGAGCGGGAGGGCCTGGACCTGAAGCAGCAACCTTACTCGAGATTTTAATGGGCCAGGAAGAGGAAGGGTGGGCGGGGAGGAGAGTGTGCCCTTCTCTCCATCCAAAACCAGAACCCCTCCCGACTGCTCTCGCTGCGTCCTCCCCTCCCCTCTTCTCCCCTAGCTCTGCTTGCCAAGCTCTGCAAATTACCACACATGCCAATAAGTCATTAGAAACCAGAATGGCAAATGTGGGGTTGCTATGGAGACCAGCACCAGGAGCTGGCAGCCCTGGGGGCCAGCCTGTGGCTCAGGTGTGCAGTGGAAAGAGCTGGGAAAGCCAAAACAACCGGCAGAGGGGAATAGAATGTGTTATGCACTATTGGGGTGTGGTTTCCAGGCAGGGCACCAGGCTCTGCTGCCTCCTGCCCTCCTACCCACTTGCAGCTTGTTAGGTGTGATAAGTGACCAACAGGCTGCCAAAGGGCAGGTGCAGCCTGGGTCAATGGGCCCAGCCCCTCCCTCCATAGACATGTCTCCCCCCTGAGGAGGTGGCTGGGATAAAGCCCACTTGGGGACTAACCTTAGAGACCAACCCCCAGAGCCAAGGACCACTGACAGCCCTTAGCCACCTGAGCGGCTGCCTGTTTGGAGAAAGCCGAGGCCCGGGGAAGGACTGAGGGCTGAACAGCACTCAAGCAACACTCATCTTCCTGGGCCTGGAACTCACTTTGCTTCTGCCCAGCACTGAGCACAGTGCCTGGGCCCCTGTAGGTCAGAATGCACGTGTGCGCGCGCGCGCGCACACACACACACACACACACACACACACACTTGTTGAAAATGGCTGAGAGGTGTGCAAACATCCGGGATTTCTGACCAGATAGCAGCAGGCCCAGGTGGGAGTCCCAGCTCTCCCACTAACTCAGTGTGCCCTCGCTCAAAGCCACTTCTCTCTGGGTGGGCCTTGGTTTCGTCATCTGGAAAATACCGGGATGTATTTCCGACACAGTGTATTCCCAATTTGGCTCTTCAGAGTTACAAGGAGATTCCTCGGGGTCATGGGTCAGGAGGAGGACGAGTCAGTGCGGTTCCAGTCCCCCGGCTTTGCTCCAGCAGCCTCTGCTCATTCCCTGTTGCTGCTGTAACGTATTACCACAAATGGAGCGGCTCAAGACAACGCAGATTAATTATCTGAGTGCAAAAGTGACTCTCGCTGAGCTGAGATCAAGGTGGTGGCAGGTCTGCGTGCCTTTGTGGAGGCTCTAGGGGAGAATCTGTTTCCTGGCCTTTTCCACCTTCTAGAGGCCACCTGCAGTCGTCAAAGCCACCAGTGGCCCATTGAGTCTTTCTCCCCCCACCCCCCTTACTGATTTCAGAGAGAGAGGAAGTGAGAGGGAGAGAGAAATAGAAGCATCGATGAGAGAGAACATCAATTGGCCGCTTCCTGCATGCTGCCCACTGGGGATCTGGCCCACAACTTGGGCATGTGTCCTGACCAGGAATCGGACCGGTGACCTCTTGGTGCATGGGTCGATGCTCAACCACTGAGCCACTCCGGCTGGACCCATTGAGTCTTTTTCACATCACATCACTCTGGCCCTGACCTCTGCCTTCCTCTTCCACATTTAAAGAACCCTTGCATTACACTGGGTCTGCTAGATACTCCAGGACAATATCTTTGTTTTAAGGTCAACTAATTAGCAACCCTAATTCCATCTGCCACTTTAATGCCCCTTGCTATGTAACCTGACATTCTCACAGGTTCCAGGGACTAGTACACAGACATCTTTGGGGGGCCATTACTCAGCCTACCGCATGTGTTTTGAAAAGTGGAGCAATTTCTAGAAATGTCTGAAAGCCACATGGCCAGAGGACTCTCAGTTGCCATCAGTTCCAAAGGGCTGTGACTTGGACTCCTCCTTTTCTCCCTGGGGGATTATTACAAGGAATTCAGAGGAATACTGGGGCCTGACCATCAGGGGTGAATGTTGGCAGTCTTAGGCGGTCCTGGTGGGGTGTGCAGAGAGGGGGTCTCTATGTCCACCAGAAAAGAGGTCCCCAGGGAGGAAAGAATGGGGGAACCCACCTGTCTCAGCTTTCCTCTCCATTCCATACGCACATATATACTAGACTGTCCTGCAGCGATCTGTTTTGTTGTTGTTGTTAATCCTCACCTGAGGACATATTTCCATTGATTTTAAGATAGAGTGGAAGGGAGGGAGGGAGAGAGAGAGAGAGACTTCGATGTGAGAGAAACATTGATTGGTTGCTTCCCACATGACCCTGACCGGCTATGGGGATCAATCATGCAACCCAGGTACATGCTCTTGACTGAATATCAAACCTAAGACCCTTGGGTCTGCAGTCCAACGCTCTAACTGCTGAGCCAAACCAGCCAGGGCCTGCAGTGATCTGTTTTTGTTTCTATTTCCAGGTAAAGTCAGATCAGATGGAGGAGTGTATGTGTGTGTATGTGTGTGTGTGTGTGTGTGTGTCCCCATGCATACAAGTGAGTGATCTCTCCCACCAGACAGGATGATCGCAGAGGTCATGACTCCTCTTCCTTTGCTGTCCCCATTACCCATCCCCATCCACTGACATTGCACCTACTGCAGCAGGCACACTGATTTAACGGTCGTAAAGTTGAGATACTACCCTTTCCTCCCATACCTTGACCTTCAACACTGTCCTCTTCCAAGATCCATCCAGAGGAGTCCCCAGACTATTTGTAACAAACTCTAGAAGCAGTACCACGTTCAGAAAGCACAGTCTTAGAACCTTTCTGCTAGCACCTTTCTGGGACTGTAGTGATCAACGCTGGTGCAGGTGAGAGGGGCTCTGACGTGCCCTGAGGGAGACCGTGGCCTCCCATTCACCTCCCAGACAACAGAACCTCTGCAAAACACCCTCTGCCAACTGCCCGGGACCCAGTGGGGCTGGATAACAAATCTCTTATGAGAACGCTTTCCTGGATATTAATCACAGCCCTTGTGTTTTATGATTTTATGCAAATTACTCACCCTCTCTCAGCTTTATTTTTTTTCCTTGGTATAAACCAGCAGCTCACACTGATTCCTACCTCTATCATATGTCCCAGGGGATCCCAGAAGAGAAATATGATGAGGCAGGAGAGAGTTATTCTCTGCAGGATCGGCCCTGGGGAAATTGAGGAGGAAAGGAACTAACATTTACTGAGCTTCTACTTTGTAGCAGGCACTTTACACAGATTAGCTCGTTTAATGCGGAGAACCAGGGCTCTGGAGTCAGGAAGAGTTGGGGGTCAGACTCTGGCTCTGCCACTTGCCAGCTGTGTGTGGCCTCGGGCAAGTCACTTAATGTTCCCCGGCTTGAGTTTCCTCAACTGCAAAATGGGGGAAACCACATCCACTCCACAGAGCTGTGTGGATTAAATGAGATAAAAGCCGCGAAGCTTTTGGCACATTGTAATCACTCAGCAATGTTAGCTCTCACTGGTAACGACCTGATGGAGTGGGTGTTACTAACCCGGATTTGTAGCAGGAAAACTGAGGCTCAGAGAGGTTACATATAATGCCCACGGGGTGTGGTTAAGGAACAGGGACGCTAAGCCTCCTCTGACCACGAGTTTAGATTTGTGGCTTAGAGATCGTGCCAGAGCTCCAGTAGAGCTGGTGGGCCCTCCTCCCTCAGGCTGCCAGGGCCCAGAGGAGGGGAGGGGTCTGTTTAGCAGAAAGGGCTGCCCATGTGAGTCTTGGCTCCTGCTCTTTGGCTGGGGTGTGGGGCAGAGTGAGGTGCTACTGAGGGACCCCACTCCATTCCAGGGCATTCTCTCTAGAGGTCAGAAGTGAGCCAAACCCCAAGTCCCAAGATCCGGGCAGCCTCTCTCCAAAGCAAAAAGCAGACTCACGCCTCCTAGGGGAACGTTTGCTCATTTAGGTACCATGTTATTTCCAATTCACTACACATGAAACCAGTGGGATTGTTCTAGGAGTGACCTAGCAAACGGGAGCCCCAGCAGAGAGCAGGGGAGGAGAAGCCAGCTGCGGACTGGGTCGAAAATGGAGCATAAGGGATGGCAGAGAATCGGGCCAACATCGGCGAGCCAAGGGGCTGGTGAGCCACCCGTTAGGGGAGTGCAGATCTCAGAAACCACTTGAGAGCTGGAAAGGGGCCCTTCTCAAAGCAGGACATCGAAGGCTAGAGATCAGCTGGCCCTGCGGAGATTAAGGCAAGAATGCGGGACGATAGGTTTTCCTCCTCTAAAGACAGGCTGCTGACCTGTCCAGAGAGAACAAAGGGGGCGCCAGAAGCCCTACTCCAGAGACAGAAACTGCTCCTCGCCCTGTGCCACCCCATCTGGCCACCCTTCTCCCGTTCCCGCCCCCAGGAGCGACCGGTTCCCATTCCCCTCTCCAGAATCCTCCCCTCAGCAGATCCAAACTCCACCCGGTTCCCAGGCCCCAGTCAGCCGCACCCCTTTGAGGCAGTGTTCCCTATATACTCCCACGCAGAGCTCACAGTTCTGATAACATTTATAGTCTAAATCACACAGTTTAGCACTTGGTTTTAAATACTGTCGGGTATTATTCCCTTGTTATTTCTTGGGAGTATACGATTTGCCTCCTCAACAGATCTGTAGATTTTCTTACCAGTACAGACTGTGACTTATGTTTCTTTGTATTCTCCCTGACCACAGTGCTCAAAAAGTACTTGGGGGTGGGGGTGGAGGATTGTGTGTACAAATACTAACGGATTAAATTAGCTTCAATGGCTGGAGAACCTCCTGACTAAGCCCCTAGTGAAATGGATCACCAAGATCCTGGGGTTTAGCCCTAGCCGGTTTTGTTCAGTGGTTAAGAGCATCTGCCCTCAGACCAAAGGGTTGCAGGTTCGATTCCCGGTCAAGAGTACGTACCTGGGTTGCAGGTTCGATCCCTGGCCCTGGTAGGGGCTGGTGCTGGAGGCCATCAATTGATGTGTCTCTCTCATATCAATGTTTGATGTTTCTCTCTCTCTCTCCCTCCCTCCTTCCTACTCTCTAAAAATCAATGGGAAAAATATCCTCAGGTGAGGATTAACAACAACAAAAAATGTCAGACCGCATGCCTCCTGCCCCAAACCCTGCAAAGTCTCCATCTCTGAAGAAACACCAAACTCCTCTCGCCAGCTCCAGGGCTTTCAAAGATCTGGCCTCCACTCAGGTCCTGCCTCTGAGCCCTTGCACCTGCCGTTCCCTCTGCCTGGTGTGCTCTTCCTACCTTGCAGCCGCTTCATCTTTATTCATAGGTCACCTTCTCAGCGCGGTCTTCCTGGACCACTCTGTATAAAACTACAAACTCTCCTCTTCCAACGTATCCTCTCCTATCCCCCTTCCTTGCTTAATTTTTCTCTTTAGAACTATTTATTTTACTGTCTCCCCAGACAATCAAGTATAAACTCCATGAGGGCAGAAATCTGTTTGCTAGTTGCTCACTGTTTTCTATACCAGCAGGCCAAGCACAAATCTTAAAAAAAAGACTTGCTAAATAAAGAGATTCCAGTCCCACTCTGTGTCTGACATAGCGGAGACATGGTTCTGCAGAGACGGGCAATGGACAGGAAAATTCTGTAGCTCTCCCGAGGTGTGGGATACTGCCCTTCCACCCCGAGGCCAACTCTGGGCAAGCACCTTCTGAAGTTCACGGGCCTGGAGCTGTGTGAGCCCCAGCTACCTTCATTCCATCGGGAGATCCGTCCAGAAGTAGAAGGGGGAGGGGCTGGATGTCAAGGCATTGAATGTCAAGTCCCTCCTGTCCCCGTGCACGGCTTGCCTACCAGCTGCCCCTCTGTGGTCGCTCCATCTTCTGGCGTCACCAACTCTGCCCTCGCAGGCCAAAGGCAGATGCTTTCATCACCTGCCTTTGAATGCTCATTTTGAGAACATGTTATAGGGGAACATAACCTGTCTTATCTCTTTCTTCCATTTTTCCCCCTGGAAAGATCAGGTAAGACAGACCCAGTTTTATAGGAGGAATCAAGCTGATTGCCTAATCATCGCTGCTCCTTCTTCCATATGTTTTTTTTTCCTGAGAGATCTGCCTCGTGAGTTTGTAAGTATGAACGACTGGACTTGTTCCTTCCAAGACACCCCACTGATGGCACCACTCCCAAACCGTCCCTACCTAATCTGCTGAATCAGACTCTGCGTCCATCCTCACATCTCGCAGAAGTCACCCCTCCACTGGTTCCACTATCGTTGGCCACAGGGACTGGCTCTTAGGGTCTAGCTTCTCTGAACACCACTGGCTCCATGTGACCCCCAAGGCACTTAGCTGAGGCAGAAGAAAACAATGTTGGCTCTTGAGGAGCTGGGACCTGTGGAAGCAAGAGGAAGAGGGAACACCCTCTCTGAATGTCCCACAAAAGGGGACAGGCAGCCCCTGGCTCAGACAGGACTTTGGGAGCTTCTAATTGCAGGGAGGGAGGAGAATGGGCTGGATGGCCCCAGAGCACTCTCCAGGCCCAAGGACTGCTAGGTTCTGAGGGTGGTTAAGGAGCAGGAGCCCTTGGGTCAGAAAGATTAAATCCTTGATTTTTTTTTTTCTAGTTATATGTCTTTGAGTAAGTTACTGAATCTCTCTGAGTTTCAGTTTCCTTGAGTTTAAGTTAGAGATAATAAGACTACCTACCCAACAGGGGTACTTTTGAGCATTTAATGGGATAATATAGGTAAAGTACTGGCACACAGTAAATGCTCAATAAATGCTAGCTGCTACAATTAGTGCCATTACAACGTGAGAGGCGGGGGCTGAGACATAGTTACTGCCTAAGGAACCCTCTGCCTGATCTTCATCCTGGAACTCATTTCAAGTCCATCAGATGCTGAGCAGCAGGGAAGACGTGGGTGGAAGAATGTGCAGAGAGAAACTGAATTCTAAACCAAACTTGGTCCAATTCACCTCCTAACAAGCAGCTCCCTCAGCCCAAGGTGTCCACTGGGTCCCCCGGGAATGCATAAAGCCAGAGGACAAGGGGTGTGACAGCTCTGGGTTTGGAGCGGAGGCTGCTTGGTGATGGCTCAGAGCATTCAGGAAGCCATGGTCAGGAGACCAATCCCAGCAGGATGCGTCAGGCCTCCTGCCCGAAGACCAACTGTTTTAGGCTGGTCATGTTCTGTTCCTGACACCTACAGAAGGCAACCCATACCAAATCAGCACCTGTTCATACGCTACCCCTTTGCCCCACATACCCTTGGCACCAGTGTCCCCGGGCCCACCACCTCAGCCTGGTTGACTCCTTTTCAAGCCTTGCCCCAAATAGCATGTGCTTTGAGAACCATTCTCTAATCTGCAGGCAGAGGTTGTCACCTCTTTTTCTGCTCATCTCTGTATTATAGCACTTGTTTCATTATTCTAAGACTGCCTCTCCCGCCCTGGCTAGCGTGGCTTGGGCCTCATCCTGTGCACCAAAAGGTTGCCAGTTCAATTCCAGGTCAGGGCACATGCCTGGGGGGTCTGCAGGAGGCAGCAGATTGATGTTTCGCTCTCACATTAATGTTTCTCTCTCTCCCTCCCTCCCCTTTCCTCTCTCTAAAAATCAATAAAAAATTTTTTAAAAAAAAGACTAATTCTCCCACTGAATGATAATAATAATAATATACTTACATAGAACTTATTATGCCAGGCACCGTTCTAAGCTCGTTACATGTATTAACTCACGTAATCCTTATAACCACTCTGTGAAATAGGAAACTGAAGCACAGAACGTTAGATGACTCAGTGGTGAAGCCTGGATTTGAACTCCAGGGGTGCTGCTCAAGAATCTATATTCTTACTGTGAATTCCTGGAAGGCAGGGGCAACATCTGCTTTGTCTCTTTGTCTCTAGCATCTAGCATAGGTCTGAGCACACAGTAGGTGCTTGGAAAAGATGGGCTGATTACATAAGCAAATGCCTGCGTAAGGCTAATCTGGTGACGATTCTAGCCTCTGAGCTGGAGGATTGAGAGATCAAGGCCCTCACAGAAGTATAAGGTATAGGTGTCCTTATTCACCCTCTGTTAGCAACCCCACCACACGCTGCTGTCTGTCCTGTCTGGTTGTCTTTTCTTGCATGTCTCTTGCTTTCTGTTTTTTGTTTCTCAGTTTATCTTCTGCCTTTGTCCTCCTCTCCTACTGTTTCTGGTCACTCTCCCCCTTTGCTGCTCCATCCATCCTCTGTCCATTGTCCTTGTCCTTCCCTGGAGTTCTTGCAGGCTTGAAAGCATCCCACCCCCATTCTTTGCCTTGGAGCGTTTATAGAGTCCAGGCTTGCCCAAGGTGGTTGAAAACACCGGTGGCATTGACTCATTAGACTGGCCATGGATGAAGCTCCTACCCTCTGACCCTCAGTGAAAACAGTCATTTCTCCATCAACTCTACCTGGATGCAGGGTGGTGGTGTGGAGTGGGGGTTGCCTGCCTATAGCTTGTCACATATCTGCATAGCATCAGAAAGTCCAGTGCTCTCTACGTGCTCTCTCAGGGTTCCATCTCCTCCAGGAAGGCTTCCCTGCTCACTTGAGAAAGCATTAAGCAAATCCTTATATATTCCCATATTATTCTAACTGAGAAGATACGGCACGCTCCTGAAAAATTTAATTAAAATGTAATCTTCAGACAACTGTACAACTTACCAGATGCCACAGGCATCACAGGGACCAAATGAACTGCAGACAACCAGTGCTTTCTAAATGTAGATCTGTGTGACCTGAGGCAAGTGGTTGATCCTCTCTGGTCCTCAATTTCCTCAGCTACAAAGCAGGAGTGATAATCCAGACTTTAGAAGGTTGTCGGGAGGACTGAATGAGATAATTTTTATAAAGCTCCTGACAGACTGGTGCTTAGCAGGCACTCAGTAATAAATGTGTGCCTTTCTCCCTCCTCTGTCCAAAGCACTGGACTTCTACCCAGCCCTCCCAGATAAATGATGAGGTATGAACTGGTCCATCCTTTTAGGTCAGAAATGTCTTAAGGACAGATGGCCCTAGGTCTGTAAGCTTTGTGGTACCTGGTATATTGTAAGGAGATGGGCCTGTCATGTTAGAGGTCACTCAGCATGATGACGACAATTGACTAGGTCTGTTCACGCTCCCACCCCTCCCACTGAGCAGCGGGTCTTTGAAAAAGCCTGGTGGGCACAAAACTAATCAGCTGGGAGGTCCAGATACAAGTTCACTTCTGCCCTGAGACCCGGGGGGGTTGTTTAATTGCTGTATCCTCAGCTCCTAAAATAGTGCTAAGCACATAGTAGGTGCTCGATAAATTGTTGAACAAAGGAATTTTGTTTAAAAAGCAATGGATTTTCTTTTTCCTTTCAAACATAAAAACGGGGGGTGGTGGCAAATGACAGAATACAGGAGACATGCCAGGGAAATGCAGCTGCCAGGCCCACCAGCCCTGGCTCCTCTTCTGCAAAGAGGATTCAGCAAAGCCAACAGTGTGTTCCCACAGTCAGGGAGCACAGAGCACATGCCTGGCTTGTGGTTAAGCCTGCAGTTGACAGGAGAAAAGGGGGGCAAAGGTGGCGACGGAGACCTGGGAGGGAGGGAGGCAACGTCCCAGGAAGAAGGAGGACGATGAAAGAAGAGGGAGAGTGTTGTGAGGAGAAAGGGAGCCCCTTGAGAAAAGACTGTGAAGAGTGAAGGAGAACCGGGAGGAGGAAGGAGGGAGGTGCAGGGCGGGAAATGGGGAGTGGGGAGGAATTGTGGCGAGCAACAGAGGCAACTTGTCTCAGTCTGGGTGGAAATTGTCTTAGCAGACCTCTGAGTTCCCACTAATTCAGAGGTGTTCAGTGTCTCCTTCAGGTTAGGCTGTGCTGGGGGAGGGTGTGGGTTTAGGGGTGCTCCTACACACTAGGTATCTGCCAGACCCTGGGCAGGTCTCACTCCCTGGTGCACTGTGACTTTTAGTTCCATCCTTTCCAGAGGGATCCCCTGGGAAGGAAGGAGGACACTCAGTGTGGTCCAGCCCAGGGAAGGTAAAGGGCCTAGAAGGCTCAGACCCCTGGCTGTGCCCTGTCCATCTTCTTCCCACAAGGGCACCTGATCAGCCAGGAAAGTGGGTCAGGCCACCCACATGTGACTTTTTTCTGATAACAAGGCCCACAGGCAAGGGGGCCTCGGGGCCTTATACACGACTCCCCATTCCCTGCCAGCCTAGGATCCTGGCCTTCTCATGCAGGAAGAGGACACTGGGCCAGAGCCTATCCCAGGCTGGCAGGGAAGGGAGCCTGCCTTGTGCCTGGGTGCATGAAAAGACCCAGAGCTCCCAGTGATGGTGACCAAGCTGGCAGGGAGCCACCTCTACACCCCTGACCCGAGGAGGCAGTTCTCTCTACCACCCACCTCCTGGGGTCTTCAAGCAGAGGGCCTTCCCCGTCCATCTCGGCCGCTGAGCGTCCATCTCTGCCGCTGAGCGCGGTGCCCAGCCCACCCCCTCCCGACCTGACCCTACCATCAGAAGCTGCGTTGGTTCCAACAGATGGGAGCTGCGGCAGTCTGAAGAACAGAGCACAAAGCCCAGCTGACATTTTCCTTCCTGTTCGTTTGGTGGGGGAGGAACCAAGAGGGGAGCACAGCAACACCCCTTGGCCCTCCCCCAGGGTCCGGGTCTCCTGCACCGTTAGCTTCTCAGCTCAGCCCCTGCCCCCGCGGCTCCTCGCTAGCTGGGCAGTCAGAGTCTGTGCCGCCCTTGGATGCAGGACGGACGGACCACCTGTGGCTGGCCCACCCCTTTGATCCCCTTTGGTGCTGCAGTGGGCCTAGAGCTGTCTTCCCGATACTGCTTCCCACTCCCGGAGCCCCCAGACTGAGCCCAACGCCGGCCCATCCCCCACCTCAAAAGTCCCATCCCAGGCTGCGGACAGACCCCTGCCGGCCTGGGAGGAGCCTGGCTCACGGTTCCAGATACTTCGGAAGGACACCAAGGCCACCTTGTCCCCCCGCACGGACACCCGAGATCCAAGGAAGGGAAAGTCCCTGCGGTTTGGGGCGCTGCCACCTCGCCGTCCGCCGCTGTCACGCCCTCCTAACCTCTCTGCCACCTCTCGGCTCCCCGACACCTCAGGGCCCCGCTCTCCCCAGCAACAGTTTGGGGCGGTTGGGGCCCCTCGGGGGCAGTACAGCCCAGACGCCCCTCGCCCGCCCGGGTCCAGCCGCGCAGTCGGCCGCCTTCTTTACATTCCCCAGCCCGCCTTCCCTCGCGCTCGGCCGCCTCCCTCCGAGTCACCGGCTCCCCTGCCTGCAGCTGGCGGGGCCGCGGCCGTCCCTCCCCAGCTCCCGCCACATCCCGCGGCCACGCCAGCCGCACCAGCGCCGCCCGGGGTCAGCCCGGAGCCGCACACTCACCCCGTGGCCGCCGTCCGGGTCCCGGGGCCGCCGCGCCGCTCGCTGCAGCCCAGGCTGAGCTGGGCAACCGGGTCCGCGCCCTTCCCCCGTGCGCCGCCCGCCCAGGCCGGGAGGCTCGGGGCCGCCTGCCCTACGTGGAGTTGCCCCGGGAGTGGTGCTGGGGCAGAGTCCCGGCGGGCGATGGCAGAACGACGGTGTGCTGCCCGCCCGCGCCCCGCGCGGGGGGCTCCGCGCCGCCCTTCGCGCTCGTGGCTCGAGCTGCGGGCTGGAGACGGCGGCTCGCTCCGCGCAGCGCGGCCAAGTCCACCCAGCAGGCCCCCGCGGCGCCCCGCGCCCCTCGCGCCTCCTCCCGGCTCCTCTCGCCCTCTCACTCGCTCCTCTGCCGCTCTCCCAGCCTCCCCGGCTCACTCCGGTCGCCGCCTCCCAGTCTGCCTGCCACGCCGCCCCCTTCCAGTCCCGCTGCCATTTTAACTCCTGAGTGGCCAGAGGCACCTTCTCCCCGACACACACCGGAGGGAGGAGTCGGGTGGGGCCAGTGGTGTTCGCGCCTTTAAATGCAAAGCTTAGCTGAAAAATGTGGGCATGGGGCTTGGGTCTGAGAGGAGAAAGGGGGGTGGCTCTTAAGATATTACCTCTTACCCCCTTGCAAAGCCCATAGGTTCTATCCTTCCGAAGTTAACAGGGGACTAAGGAATTCAGTGGGCGGGTTAGAATCTGTTCAATGGACCTCTTATTCTAAAGGCTGGAGCCCAATATACCCTTCCAGCATTGACCTCTGAGCAGGGCAGCCTTACATCTCTGAACATCCCACCTGGCCTTTAGCAAAGGTCAGGCAGGAACTGGCAAGCCCACAGGCGCTTGGCTTTGGGGAGTGCTCACCCTGCGGACTGGGCGTCATGAACATGGGGAAAGCAGAGTGAGCTGATCCACGCTGAAGGTGGGTGCTGGGCTGCTTCCTGGTGGCTTAGGAAGGCCGGGTCCCTGCCACTGGTCTGGGCTTAGGGTCCCCTGCTGCAGCAACGGCTGAAGGCCCATGCCTTAGTGGGCCTTCCTGGATCACTCAGAATGGACAAAACAAGGCAGCTCCCAGACAGGCCACACCCCTGATGGGTCTTGACCAGAGCCTGCAGAACCAACAGCAGGGAAATGGGTGAGGTAGAGTCCAAGATATGGGGAGTCCTTTGAGGAGGGCATCTGGGATGTCTTCCTTCATCGGGGCTTGAGCTCAGTGCCGCCTGGGAGGTGAGCTCTGGACAGAACAAGGACAGAGCTTTCTGGCTCTGGCTTTTCCAAGGGCACAGCCTGTGTAGTAACTCTAGGCCTGGAGGCTTTTATAAAGCTGCCATGAAGGTCTGAGCATCCTGCATGCGCAGAGGGGTTTCTCACCTTCACATATTCAGTGAGTGTGAATTATGTTCCCACTGTACCTCTGAAACCACCCCTACACCTCGGCCCTCCACCCCTGCTGTGGGGTCTAATGGCCTTGGGGAGCTTAGAGGGACCGAGTTGTAACTATCTGAAACAAATTTTTAACATTTCAAGGCAATGGAATACAAAGAGAAAACGCCATCATGGGCTAGGGTTATACATGGAGGGTTTTATGGAGGAGTTGAGATTCAAACTGAGTCCAGATGGAGGGATAGGATTTGAACAGCAGAGGAAACATGGACCGCTGAGGCAGGAAAGCAGAGACAAGCAGGGTATACCGTGTTGCCTGGGAGGTAGGGGCAAGGGAGGGAATTTATAGAGCTCCTATTGGATGCTGGGCCTTTTCACATCTCTCATTTTATCCTCTGAGTTGACTTACCCCACTGAATAGACAGGAGGATGGAGGTTCAAAGAGTTTAAAACCTGCAGTCAGAACTTGAACTCTTTCTCTTTTTCTTTTTTAAAGACAGGCAGACCGCCACGTGCGGCGCCTCATTTGGGTGTGCTGGAGTCTTGGAAGCTTGGCTACCCTACGTTCTCCTACCAACAGACCTTAGAGCTTGTGTGGAGGTTCCAGCAGGGGAGCGTATACGCTTGACCGAAGATGGGTCCTCTCGTCTTGGAGGAAGGTTGTCCTCTTCCATCAAGCACGCAGCTCCAGGGGGGATGCACACAGATCGTGAGGGAGGAGGGGGACACCCACCTTGCCAGCCAGATCAGCTGACTCAACCCTGGAGATTAATGGGTGACAGATGTCGCAGCTAGATCGCCCTCACATCCAGAACTTGAACTCTCTTTGAACCCTCAGTGTCTTTGCTGCAGTCCACATTGGATATGCAGAGCGGAGCAGCTGATGAAGGGTCTGATCGGCCAGGCTGAGTTTAGCTTGCCTGTGCACACGTGATTTGGGATGAAAGACACAGGAAGATGGGAGGCTAGTGAGGAGGCTGTTGTGGGAATGATGG